AGGGCTCCCAGGACGTGGGAGAGGACCAGGACGAGGAGTAGGAATGAGCCCCAGGGCCATAGTGAAGCCTGCTGCTTCTTTGGTCCGTATAAACGGTTCTGAGAGGATGATTCAACTTTCAGGCAAGATTTAGTAACTAGCTGTGGGCTTGATGGTTTTGCAAACTCGAGTCGGTAGGCCCGTACTTGAGTACAGATCTGGAGATAGAACCTGTCAGGAGTATGTCTCGGATGCAGGGCCCGTCGAGCTCTCTTATAATTTTGATATGTTGCAGCCTCGCTCTCGTCGGGTTGGCCAGATGACTACTAATCTTGCCACGGTCTCTGCATCCTCGCGTGCATCTAGTGTACTGATCGCCCCGCCTCCCCCCTGCCCCAGAGCCCTCGGTTGAAACGGCTAACGGATCGCAGGTGAAGCATTAGCAAGTGTCAGCATGTTCCGAATCGATTTGGATCATGTTGCGCTTGCGCTAGACTTTGCAGGTGAGGAGGCATCTCGACCCCCTCAGAACAGTGTTCGTGAATGGGGCGGTGCTGCAGGTGGGCCCCACGGTCTTCCCCCCTGCGGGGTCCCGCTGACAACCGGAGGCGTCCCCCCCGCGGCCCCGCGAGGCTGCCAGGCAGGCCCTCGTACGGTCACTGGAGCATCACAGAGCCAGCCTGTGCAGCAGGTTGCTTCGCTGCAGGGTTGAGCTATGGAGCAGGTCATGGATCGCAAGTGTTCAGTCAGTCAGTCAGTCCTTGTCCTCCTCTTCTTCCCCCTCTTCCTCCTCCTCCTCCTCCTCCTCCTCCTCCTCGACTCCTCCTCCTCTGCTTCCCCTCCTCCTCCTCCTCTGGCTGCGTTGATTGCTGGACAGGGTCGATCGTTGGCTTGGCCACTTCACCAGCGGACTTGGCCATGGCTGCTTTCAGTTCCTGCTTTGGGGGCTTGAGGTTGTCAACGAGCGTCTCTGTCTCTCTCTCTCTCTCTTTCTGGCAACCTTCCGAATGTGTACGCTTTGGTATTCTTCACCAGCGTCGTCGGTCATGGCGCAGTCTTCTTCAGCTGCCGATGCGCCACAACTGGCGGACCCACCAGGATAAGCGCCAGGATGAGCCTTGTGAGGACGCTTAGCACCATCGACAGCGTTGTTTTCCCGCTTCGCCGACAGGGCATGTGCGGCTTCCAGACACAGGTACCGCAAACGGGGGCAAACTATGTGCCCGGCTGAGCAGCCGTGACAGTGCCGCGGACCAGCGGTATCCAGTGGCTGTCGGGGGCAGTCGTGGGCCTCCAGCCAAAATGTGTACGGGGAAGGGACGGGGGAGGACGAGGAGGAGGAGGAGGAGGAGGAGGAGGAAAAGAAAAAGGAAGAGGGGGAGGAGGAGGAAAAGGAGGAGGAGGAGGAGGACGAGGAGGAGGAGGAGGGAGAGGAGGACCAGTGCAAACCTAGAGTGCAACAGCGATGTTGCAATGAACCCTCCCTCCAAGCTTCCTCTTCATGGCTCCCTGAAAGAAGTTGTTGCCATTGCTGGAAATAGCCCATTAGAAGACAAACTCATGAGAACCCTCAAGCGTGCCATACACAGCTCCTGCGAATCAATATGTTGCGTCCTGACAAATCTGAACCGCGCCAAAACACTTGTCCTGGGGCATCACCACTGCGTATCAGTGTGGCTGTCGCGTCCAGACAAGCCTAAGTAGTGCCAGAGATTTATGCCTGGGACTTCGACCATAGGAGTCCTGGCAACTGTTGCAAAACGTTGAATACGAATGTGCGCGGCGACCAAACGAGAACCACAGGTTGATAACCAACAGCCTTCCATCCGTGAAAAAGATACAAAAGTTGTAAGACGAGTGCATGCGGCGATCAGGCGAGGGACACAACTTGATAACCATCCGGCCTCCATCCGCAAAACGAGTGCAAATGTTGAACAAGAATGAGCGCGGCGCGAAGGCGAGACCCACATTAAGATAACGGCCCGACCTCCATCCGAAAAACTGCTGCAAACTGATAGGACGAGTGGGCGCGGCTTTAAAGCGAGAACCACATTTTGAAAACGATCCGCCCCCGATCCGTGAATGTGCTGCGAACGTTGCATACTAATGCTCGCGGCGCCAAGGCGAGAGCCACATGTTCATAGCCGACCGCCCTCCGTCAACGAAACCGTTGCAAATTTGAATATCCAGCGTCATAAAAGGCATGCAAGCCTCAGGCGAAACGCACGGCCCGCCCTACCAACACGCCTGGGGGTGCAACGGAGAGGAGTTGCCTTTCACGGAAAAGGGACGGAATGAGGGCCTCGTCAGAACACCAGTCCTGGGACGTCAATCACGAGAACCCGTTAGACTATTGCAAAACAGTGTGCACAGACTGGGCGCGGCGATCATGCGAGAGCCACATGTGGAACAAGCGCCGACATCCAGTCGCGAAGCTCCTGCAGACCCGCCGCCCATCCGACAGAGCTGCTGCCGCACGCCGAGACGGATGTGCGCGACGCTCGGGCACACTGTTGGTGCGAAAGTGCGCAGCGCGGCCGGGCGAGAGCCGCATTTTGATAGCCGCCCGCCCTCCACCCGCAGAGTCCCTGCAGACGTTTACGTCGAGCCTGCGCGGCGCTGCAGCGAGACCCGGGCTGTGAGAAGGAGACGCCCTCCACCCGCGCAACTGCTGTAGACGTTTACGACGAAGGTGCGCGGCGATCCGGCGAGAGCCACATGCTGAAGAGGGGTCGACTGCATCCGTGTGATGTTCCTGCTGACTTTTAATAGGACGGCGCGCGACAGGAAAAAAAGAGAGCCATAGGTCGATAATCACCCGCCCTCCATCCGTAAAACGGTTGAAGGCCTTTGAGGAGGATGCGCGGGGGGCGAGGGCGAGAGCCACAGTCTGAAACCCGTCCGCCCTCCATCCGTGAAGCTCCTGCAAACGTTTGGTACGAACGTGCGCGGCGCGAAAACGAGAGCCACATTTCGATAACCATCCTCCTCCCATGCGCCAAACTTTTGCAAACGCTTGAAAAGAATGCGCGAGGGACTAGGGCGAGAACCACAGTTTGAAAACCGCCCGCACTCCGCCGGTAAAGCCGCTGCAAACTTTTAAAACGAATGCACGCGGCGCTGAGGGGAGAGAACCACATTTGAAAACGACCCGCCCTCCATCCGAGAAGCTGCTGCAAACATTTCAAACGAATGCGCGCTCCGCTCATCCGAGAGCCACGTTTTCACAACCACCCCCCTCCATCCGTGAAACTTCAGCAGATGTCTAACAGGCGCGAAAGCGAGAGCCTCATTTTGATAACCACCCACCTACCATCCGTGAAGCGGATGCACAGCGTAACCTTCAGGATCATGAATGGTGAGGAAATCTCAGGCGAAGCGGCCTGCCCGCCCTACTGATCGTTTCGGGGTGCGACAAGTTTGTTTGTGTGTTGCTGTGGGATGGAGAAGGGGGAGGGAGAGAGAGGGAGAGCGGGAGGAGGAGGGGGAGGAAGAGGAGGAGGAGAAGGAGGAGGAGGAGGAGGAGGAGGGAAGAACGCCTCTGGTACTTTCCGAAGGATTGTTTAACGTACAAAGGAGGAGGAGGAGGGGGAGGATTCTGGATTCTGGATATGATGCGCC